TTAAAATTAGTGGTGGAGTCAGGATTCTACTTTGAAGGGGGGGGGGGGCGAGAAAATGCATGATTTCCTGTTCAATCTTAGCATTATAAATGCACCTTCAATTTTTGGTATATATAAACGAAGATTGTTTAAAAGGAAATAACTTAATTAATAAATCCGAGCACATACTTATGGTAATAATAAAACAAAGTTACAAAATCATGAGATCCCTGGTAAAATATATGTGCCTCCGCTGCAATGCATGGGCCATTATCTAGTTACTGGTAACATTTGTAGTTGTGTATGAACATCTGACAAGTTAGAGCTTGTCTTTGTTGTAATATACATTCGCTCTCCAGATTTGCAGATTTACCAGCTCAACGCCTTTTTGTGTCCTATACTACTCCTTTTCTAATGGTATTAGCATGGCTGTAGTTGTAGCAACACAAAGACTCACTTCCTAAAATTTTGGTGCCATTAATTTGTTATCTTTGAGGTTTACTTGACATCTACTTGCCCATGGACCAGTTGGATACGTGACCAGCAAGAATCTGAAGGTGTCACTCCTGGTGAAGATGTCTACATAATTCTCCGTCTTGATGGTCGTGTGAGAAGATCTGGAAGAGTAATTCTTTTCTTTGGGTTTATTTGGTTGGAGTTAATCCTATTGACACTAGAATGAATGAACTAAAATCTAACTAAAGTTGAGATTAACGGTAAAAGTTACAATTGATTGTTTTCTCTTTTTTTTTGCAGGGCATGCCAAACTGGAACGACATTTTGAAGGAATTGCCACGTCTTGAAGATTTGCTCAGCAAACTTGAACGATGAAAAAGACGTGTATACGGGTGTAGTTTTCTTCTTCATGCCCTTTATCTTTGTGAAGACCGGAACACTATTTCGTTGCACAGGGATTGAACATCCTGTTTCGTAAGATTTCAATGTAGCTTCTTTTCAGTTCTCTTTGCTATGCGAAAACCAAGGTGGATGCCTTATTTCTCTATAAGAAGTGAGGCCCTTGTGTGCCAGATAAGAACATGTACACAAGATTGTAATTAACAAACCAAGAATTGGCCCTGTTTTTTTGTTGTTGTAAAAGACGAAAGCTCCCAAGCAAAAATACAAAGGTGAACATGGTTATCCAGAAGTTCTGAATTTTGGGGGTATCAAATTTGATCAACCATTCTCCTCATGTGTGAAGTTTCATGAAGGAATGACACTGAAGAAATTCAACCTTACTATTCAGTCAAACATTCGAGTATAGCTTTGATTTTTTCATTTTTTGCCTAGCAATACCATGATGTCATTTACACGAGTATACAAGTCGACTATGTATGTTACAAGGAAAACATTTTTTTCCTTAGTTTAATTTTCAGAATTTACTATTCATAAAGGGTTCCCGTGGAACCATGTTCAGCAAATCCGTGTCTAGGTTCCAAGGGCCCAAACATTGCATCTCTCTTCCTAATAGGTGTTGATTAAGGCCGACTCTCTGAGCTTTGAGATACTTGGCGGTAGGATCGTCCTAAGGATGGCTTGGATCACAAAGAAGAGGGGTATTTTTGTCATTTCACTAGCAAAATCCAACCACCGGGTCTGTATTAGGCTGCCTCGCATTCACATGTGTTCCCCTCTTCTTGCGTGACTTTGCAATTGTGTCTTCCCCTCTCCCTCGTCCTTCTCTTATTTGCTGAAATCACTAGTTAAGGATGCGTCACTTGTCGCAAACTATGAGTTTTTAGTGATTTTTCCTAACATGGGAGGGATAGGTGAGTTTGTTCTTCATTTGTTCTGTTTTTTCCAAAACGAAAGATCTTTTGAATTGTGCGTCAAAGTTACTAACCATTTTCACCGTTGCACGTATCAAGATCTTCGAACTAGATCTCATGTTGATAATTTTTGATGGATTCTTTTTAACAAATATGTGCTCTCAGTTAGTACTAACATGCACTCCCAACAACAATAAACTGTGCTCATGCGCTGGTGAAGCACAGTTGTGCTCGTGCTAGGAAGCGCACCCATGCTCCCAAGTATACTAGATTTGTGCTTTCACCAGACGAAGCACAATTGTCTTCCCTGCGCTCTGCTCACAAGTGCACTAGTTTGTGCTCCCGCAAACATGAAGCACAATTGTGCTCCTGCATGAAGCATGCATGTGCTCCAGTGCTCCGAACAGATGAAAAAAAAAACGTGAAACCAAAAAGGAAAAAAAATGCGAAGGTGAAGCAAGACTGTGCTCCCATGTGAAGCACGCATGTGCATCAATCTTGATGAAAATGAAAGTAATCATGAAACCAAAAAAAGGGAAGAAAAGAAACACCAAAACAACTTGGGGAGAATAAAAATTAGGAAAAATATCGGGTAAAGCCAGAAACCCCGGGGGAAAGCGCTTGCTCCTTTCAGTCTTACTCGCTCGGTTACTTCTTTGCTGTCTGGCTCGCTAGCTAAGCTTGCCACATGGCACGTGCTGACTAGCTAGCACTGGGTTGTGCCCTATGCGGAGGACACCCATCATGATCCTCCTCCCCTGGCCGTTCCTCCCTCCGAGGCCGCCATTGATGCCATCTTCGGACGAGAAAGCTTCGGGTGATGGTGACGACAAAGATAACGATAGGCGTGAGCACGCCTCTGTCGGACAATGTCGTCGTCTTCATCCTCAATCTCTTCACAAGAAGCAGCAGAAGATGGGTGGCGTGACTCTCTCTCCCCCTCTCTCACATGAGCACGCGTACACACAAACAACTTGGTCACGATAATGGTCACACATTCGCCGACTTGCCTTCTTCTCGCGCCATCCCGTAGAGTACATACCAACTAGGTCAGCATCACCACCTCATCTCCTTCGCCTCGATCCCTCAATTCGGCAGCAAGGGCACAAAGCAGCAACACGTGGGTGGCCTCCTCCATCCTTCCCGTCCTGCTCGATCTGGTGCTTGCAAGGTATTTTCTATTTTACAAAACCTCGTCAAGAGGGCAGGGTGCACCTAAGATTTCATAAAGAAGAATAAAATTAACCTAGTTTATAAGGAAAACTAGGCAACAAACCATACAACTGCTTAATTGATTAAGGGACAATCAAGCGAAACCCCAACCACAAACACAAAAGGAAAATAAGAAAAAAGGAAACAACAAAGTCGCAGTCGGCCAACTCAAACTCCACTGCCTACTCGCCCACACCAGAAAGAAGTGAACGGGATCTTTGGAGACACATTCAAGAAGGAAATACGATGTTCGAAGGCATCAACATCGACCCCCATTGACCGATAAAGCTTTCGCCTAGACACCACCCACAACTCCCCGCTGAAACCTTGGAAATGGTGGTCACGCCAACAACCACTATGAAAACCCAAGCAACGACCAACCACAACCTAGTGGAGAGGAGGAACATCTCTGTGACAACTCCCAAAGGAAGAGGCTACATCGCACCATAGTCGCCGGTAACTAATCCCCATCGGAAGCAAGGCTTTTGCCCAGAGCCCTTCGCATCTCCACCTCATCGGGCACAGGGGAAGGGGCCCAACCATTGCCAAAGGAGACCACCGACATTGGAAGACCATGGTCGCTAGATCTAAGGGTTCGCCGGTCGAGCCGCAAAAGCACCAAAGAGACAAGTTCACGAACATCCAGCCACCACCACACCCTACGCGCCACCACCACTGCGCACAACGACCAAAACCACCGCCGCACCAACAACATAGCTGCTGCCACCACACCGCCCGGCCACAGCCCTCACGGAGCCATATGGGCCACGTGCGGAGCCCCCAAAAAAGCAGGTCGGTGCCCTAGCCCGACGCGTCCGAATCCGGATAGAGTACCATTGGCCAGAGCCCCTAGAAGATCATTTCTCTCCTTTTCCTCGCCAGTGAAGGTGTGACGCCCCCGATTTGACCGTACACTAATCATGCACGCAAATGTGTACGACCAAGATCAGGAACTCACGGGAAGATATCACAACACAACTCTAGACACAAATTAAAATAATACAAGCTTTATATTACAAGCCAGGGGCCTCGAAGGCTCGAATACAAGAGCTCGATCATAGACGAGTCAGCGGAAGCAACAATATCTGAGTACAGACATAAGTTAAACAAGTTTGCCTTAAGAAGGCTAGCACAAACTGGGATACAGATCGAAAGAGGCGCAGGCCTCCTGCCTCGGATCCTCCTAAACTACTCCTGGTCGTTGTCAGCGGACTACACATAGTAGTAGGCACCTCCCGAGTAGTAGTAGTCGTCGTCGACGGTGGCGTCTGGCTCCTGGGCTCCAACGTCTGGTCGCAGCAATCGAGTATAGAAAAGGGGGAAAAGAGGGAGCAAAGCAACCGTGAGTACTCATCCAAAGTACTCGCAAGCAAGGGACTACACTACATATGTATGCATTGGTATCAAATGGAATAAGGGTATCATATGTGGACTGAACTACAGAAATCCGGAATAAGAGGGGGATAACTAGTCATGTAGAAGACTACGCTTATGGTAACCTCCATCTTGCAGCAGGAGAAGAGAGTAGATGGTAAGTTCACCAAGTAGCATCGTGTAGCATAATCCTAACCGATGATCCTCCCCTCGTCGCCCTGTGAGAGAGCGATCACCGGTTGTATCTGGAACTTGGAAGGGTGTGTTTTATTAAGTATCCGGTTCTAGTTGTCATAAGGTCAAGGTACAACTCCAAGTCGTCCTATTACCGAAGATCACGGCTATCCGAATAGATTAACTTCCCTGCAGGGGTGCACCACATTTCCTAACACGCTCGACCCCCTTTGTCCGGACACACTTTTCTGGGTCATGCCCGAACTCGGAAGATCAACACGTCGAAGCCCTACCTAGGCACAACAGAGAGGTCAGCACGCCGGTCAAAATCCTATGGCGCAGGGGTCTGGGCCCATCGCACATTGCACACCTGCACGTTGCATACGCGGCCGGTGAGCAGACCTAGCCTCCCTTATACAAGAGTAGGCATTCCAGTCCAACCCGGCGCACGCCACTCAGTCGCTGATGTCACGAAGGCTTCGGCTGATACCACGACGTCGAGCGCCCATAACTGTCCCCGCGTAGATGGTTAGTGCGTATAGGCCAGTAGCCAAACTCAGATCAAATACCAAGATCTCGTTAAGCGTGTTATTTTGAAATAACCACGAACGCCGACCAGGGCCAGGCCCACCTCTCTCCTAGGTGGTCTCAACCTGCCCTGTCGCTTCGCCACAAAGATCCACACAGAGGGCTGTCGGGAAAGTATGTCCTTCCAGCCCCCAATTCGTGAATCAACCGCGGGTACTCCTCGAGCCAACCCGACTTTAGTCATCACATGTATCATGTATAAAGTATATAGTATATACCCGTGATCACCTCCCGAGTGATCACGACCGGATAGTATAGCATGGTAGATGGACAAGAATGTAGGGCCACTGATGATAAACTAGCATGCTATACTAAGCATTAGGATTGCAGGTAAAGGTAACAATAGTAGTAGCAAGGACAGGCTATGCATCAGGATAGGATTAACGGAAAGCAGTAACATGCTACACTACTCTAATGCAAGCAATATAGTACCGAGAGTAGGCGATATCTGGTGATCAAGGGGGGGGGCTTGCCTGGTTGCTCTGGCAAGAGAGAGGGGTCGTCAACACCGTAGTCGTACTAGGTAGCAGCGGTGTCGGTCTCGGTGTCTAGCGAGAAAAGAGGGGGAAGAAACAATAAATATAATGCAAACAAATGCATGACGATGCATGACATGACAAAGCATGATGCTAGGTGTGCCCTAACGCGATACGAGTTGGTACCGGTGAAGGAGGAAAACATCCGGGAAAGTATTCCTGGTGTTTCGCGTTTTCG